GTTCCTGGAATCCAGAGATTGAGCTCCAGGTTTGTTGAAACCATGGCCAAATGCGTTTAGCAGGCTTTCTGGAGCTTTCGCGCACATCAAAGGTTCGAGACTCGCTGTCACTTGCGCGCGATTTGCAAGGCTCACGAAAACTTGTGGAGTTTGGATGCAACGAGAAGAAATTGGACCTGCCCCAATCTTGGAGTGACACTCCACTTGTCGGCAAGCAGAGCAGATCCGACAGAAGTTCCAAACTTTCGAGAGCTGCAAGCTTTCGCATGAAGCCAACGATTCTGGATTCCAGGAACTGCAGCAGCTATTCTTGAGGTTTCTCTACCTAATTACCCCTTACAAACGGAGCCATATCACAAAGCGGCAAGGTTTTTCTTTATTTTTTAAGGCCCTCCTGATCGCAATAATAAATGGGTGACAATAGTATACTCCCGGAGGGCCGGGGGTCCTGGAAACAAAGCTTTGTTCAGAAGGTTATTTAGACAGCAAGAGCTAATGGGCCTCATGCCAGAGGCTTTGGTGTTCGAGACCTGCCGGCTTTGACATAGAAGCCAGGGAGTCCTCCGTCCCTACACCACGAAATTCGCACCGAACATGCTTCAATTTGGTTTCCAAGGCTCCAAATCTATCTTTCACGGCTTGGAAAAAGGCATTTAAAGCAGTTCCAGCTTTGATGGTGCCCTTGGCCCCACTCCCGAGGCTTTAGTTGAGGTCTCGAAGCCCCGACCAAGTCAAAATGCATTTGCCAAACCTTGCTAAACGCATTTGGCCTTCGTTTCACCAAGTCCGGAGCTCAATGCAGTCCCTGCACCCGAAAATCGCACCGAACATGCTAGAATTTGGTTTGCAGGCTCCAAAAATGCATTTTTTAAAGCTTGGACGCGCATTTAGAGCTGTTTCAGTTTGCTGGTGTCCCTGGCCCCGCTCCCGACGCTTTATCTGAGGTTTTCCAACGCCTGCTAAACGCATTTGGTCTTCGTTTCAGCAAATCTGGAGCCCAATGCCGTCCCTAAGCCGAAAACCGTATTGAAAATGCTGTAGTTTGATTTGCCCCCCGACCAAGCCCAAATGCATTTTCCAAGGCTTGCTAAAGTCAACGTGGTCCCTAAACCCGAAATTGCAGTAGGCCTGCCTTGAGCGAGTGTGCGAGTCGATTCCCGAAACTCGCGCCGAAAATGCTTCATTTGGCTTCCACGTGTCTAAACCGGTTTTGGAACGGAAGTGTCGCAAATTTTGTAGCGACTTGAACATGCAGTAATGGGCCTCCAGCTATTCGAGAGAGAAGTAGTTTATTGGCTTTAGATGCAGTCTTGAACGTTTCAAAACAAGCCTGACAATTTGAGGAACTGATCCATTGGTAGGAAACCATAACAAACCTTGTATTTGTAGCATTCCTATCTTTACGTCCATACTGTTTGGGTTCTTCGCCGGCACTCCTCATCCTCCGACATGTGAGCTCCGGCTTTCACTTTCCTCCACAACGGCCGTTGCCGACAGGACGGGTGGCCTAACGGCCCGGGGAGCCTGGACAAGAGAGAGAAGGAGAGAGAGAGTAGCCATTTTGGCTCAAGCCGCGAGCGGTTCAAGCCCGTGGGGGGCCCTCCGTGAGCCCACTTCCTTTCTTCTTCTCAGCCCCCCACTGGGACAACCGACTTTTCCCTTGAACTCCGCTTCTCTCTTTCTTTCGACGCATTGCAGCTCATCGAGGGGGAAATCCCTGCTCTCTTCACCGCGCAGGTTCTCGTGAAGGAGATCGGTGAGAACGGTTCTGCAGGGCAACCGCGGCTATGTAACGACTGCCTCGACCCTTTTGTCAAGCGCTACCCCAAGGAGATAGGCGATCCAATACGGGGGAGTACCTCGAATCAGCGATTCCTGGCTACCTGCACGTAAAGATTGTCTCCGTTGTGCATCGTGATACGTCCCCGACGCCACCACGAAACATATCTTTGCCTACGTGGACACGATGCAGGACAGAAAGGAAGCCGGGGAAACACCCCTTATCTGCAAGAGGTGCAGAAAAGGACCGTCTTTCCATGGAGGACACGAGCGGCAAGATCCAGAATGCATCCTACATGGTTTCGCGGGGACAACGCGCAAGGAGATTGCAGATTTCCTGAAACAGAAAGAAATACAAGATGCTGTCCGCCAAGCTCTACATGCCCACGCCAACGAAGGCCTTGCACCTAGCACCCGGGAGCACTCCCATGACCCGCCGAGACCGACTGAGGCAACCACAAGCTCGTCTACAAGACCTTCCCCTCCCCCCCCCCTCCCCCCCTCCCGAAGCCGATACGCAGTGAAGGCACCGCCCCCCCCTGAAGCCGAAACTCAATGAAGGCACCGCCATATATATACATGGCGACCGGAACGACGAGGAGGCCACGGATGCCCTCATTGAGGATCACCTACAGGAGCTCTTCGGCATCCACACCGCAAAGAGGGACCCCCCCCCAAAACCCCACAACGAAAACCGAGGACACCTGTGAGGTACTTTGCCAGCCCGCCTGCAGAGCTTGTTCCCCCGCCGGTGGTTTCGTCTTCTACCTCTTCTAGGGGGACTACCTCTACATCCACACAAGGTGCGACCAAGCTAAAGGGGGAAGACGTCGTGGAAGAACCGACCAATGCCATCGCGGATTTTACGGGGGCTTTCCCCAATCCAGGCTGGTGCAGCACGCGCAATTCCAGCATCGGCGCCGGAAAACACTTCACACGGCACGGGGGCTTCCCCGAAACAAGACCGAGACCTACCTGTGAGCACAACACAATCGGGGATGCCCCCAGACTCGAACTATACGACTCTTGTGCCCGGCACTGCAGAACCTCCTCGTGAACCAGAAGCAAAAGACTCCTACCTGGACCCTACAGCTCGCCCTCCGCCTGCTACGGGGTCACCCCCAGACTCTCCCCGCGGACTACCTGACCGTCATTTGCAGGACATTCTTCAGCCGCTACCACCAGGATGGGTGCACGACCAAGGGTTCAGTGAAGGTTTGCACCCCGCAACTGACGTCTTTGCCCTGCCCAGCGATGAGCCATTGCCTAACACTGTCGACCATGGAGAACTTGATGCCCACTGCGCCCAAACAGGGGAAACCTCCCCACGCAACCATGGTGGAGACTGCTTGCCCCATTTCCAGGCCATAGAACCACTGCCACAAGGTGCATGCGACAACAGCGAGCCAGAGGGAGATGGTGCAATAACGGGGCAAACCCCGGCGTGTGACAACAGAGACGGCAGTACGCTACCAGACCTACATGAGGGGACGCTCCCCATGGCAGCTCCGCTACATCAGGCTGACGAAAGCCCCAGCTCAACCTCGGAAGAGGAGAAGGATATTTTGGATGGACAGGAAAGCCCTGAAAAGGCCCGCGAAAACCAAAGCAGCAGCCACAGGGGAGTCCCAGAACCGAGGGGAGAGCCCGCGAAACTTACTGCTCCACAACGTGTGCGCCTTCACGAACTGATACGATCTGGACAACTACCACGAGGCCTTGACCGAACTGCTAGCGACGAAGAACTTTGGAAGGCCTACAGAAAGGAGATGAAGGACAAGTATAGAGCCTTGCGGAAGCGCAAGAGAGCAGATGGGACCTGGACAAAAGATGATGACCGGGGATGGGGCCCCGTACGTCCGAGCAATGTGCAGTCGAACAGAGATAGGTCGCCATTGCCAAGAAGGAGACCACCCTCCTCCACATGAATGGTGACATCTGAGAAGCAGTGAAAAGCCATGTGCAGCCCACACCGGGGGAAACCCTCTTTTCTCAGTGCTTTTGACTAGTGCATTTCTTTTCTGTGAGCTCGACGGCATGCGTGACATGATTGCCGAACTTTCTCTCCATGCGGAAACTTTCGATCCGTTTTCTCCGAACATCGACCGGGAGAAATCCCCCGGAACATTTGGTTCCCTGTACACTAAGACGGGCCGCTGAGCCACTCCAAACACACTTTGCAGCCTCCGCTGGAGGCACAAACAAATTAATCGCCGAGTGCTCAAGTTCCGTTTGGCAGCTTTCAGGGGAGGGACCCTTTGTGATTCATTGGAGTTGGATGTTCAGTTGCCTTTCGGTTTGCCATTGCCTATATTGAGAGCTGCTATTGGCCGTGGCACAGGTGATACTAGCCCTGGTGTCGCGAGAGCCCTTTTCCCAAGTAAGCCCACCCACAAGTTGGGGGCGCCGACGGCGCGCGGGCTAGGGGGGAAACCCCCTGGTCCCTAACCCTCTCTTTCTTTCTTTGATCGGCCTTCGGGCCAGGGGGGTTTTCCCCTCACACCCCCAGCAAACAAGCAAGCAAGAGAGATCGAGATGATTTGTTGCTACACTTGTTTCGGCCTGCCACATCACTACTTTCGCATATACACTGATCCTGTGGCATGCTCTTGAACTCCCTGGTTTTGTATCCTAGGTCACGTTTTGTCGGTTGCCTTGATACCTGCGTGCCAGAAGACTGTAAACCGGACTGCCACCACACCGGGGAAAACAAACCCCAAAGCTGCTAGCGAAACCTGTGTTGTTCGACTGAGCCTTCATGTCATGTTTCCCTCACGTGGAATGCTAGCAGCCGTGTGGAGCTTTTGCATTTCTAACTCTACGTCGCGGGGGGTTTTCCCTCCACCACCCTAGCCCTGGCGAAAGAAAGAAATAGATCGAGATCGGGCTGGGGCATGTCCTTCAGGCCTGGAGGGAGAGAGAGAGACAGAGCCGAGATAGAGACGCCCAGAAAGATATAGAGAGGGGACAGGGAAGAAACCGACTGTGTTGTCGAAGTGTAACAGCGTAACATACGCTCGGCGTGTTGTTCAACTTGTGATAGCTTGCCTCGAGCCCAGCGGCCTGAAGCTGAGGTCATCATAACCCGCCGCATTCGGACGCTCCGAATGTTGGTTCGGGCCTCATTTCCGTCGATGATTTGTTGCAGAGCCCACTCGCAGCTCGGGCCCATGGCCTTGGCTGTTGCGCACATTTTGTGTCAACTGGCTTCGGACGGCGAGGTTTTCATGCTGCCGGAGGGTTATCGCCATGACATCCAACACAAGAACCAGCCTCTCGCCTCGTATGGTGCGACCATTAGAATCAGTAGAATTCGATCTTTGGGTTGGGCGTCCATTGTTCTAGGAAGGCTTCCTTGTTGTATGATTACTATTCGACGCCGAACACAGGGAAGCCTCAAAAAGCTCGAATGCAGGAGGCCGTTCTAGTCCTCGTATTGTTTTCGTAGGTATACGCACGTAGCGATGTCGTTGTGTTTTGTGTCGCAGCTGATGGGTGACGGAGTCTGCGACGGAAAGAGAGGGAGTTTCGGTCACCATGCCTCGCAAGATTCGGCTTTAAGACCAAGCTGGTCGTGCGGAGCAGTCGACACGCTAGGCCATGCTGAGGCCTACGCAACTAGATCGCGGAGAGATCACTGAGAGTGTGTAGGGTGTTGAGAAGCTTGTTAGTGCCGACTGTCCTCTAGGTTCCTTGGCCGGTCTGGTTGCACGCCATGTCCCTCTTGATTTCCAGGGTGTAGAGGTATCTTGAGCGTGTTCTAAAGCATCCGATCGCTTGCAGTAACTCCAAGGTTCGCGAACATCAACAAGAATTTTCCGGTGCTGTTCTCAGTAAGACGTGAGGCGGAAAAGCATGCTATGGTTGTGCAGCAGATCTTTCCGGGCGGTGCCATGGTTCGACTCGATGAGAATTGCGGCACTGAGACACGTGCGTTGTGACGAACAGGGACAAAACCAGGGCATCTCAACCGCCCGTCTGTGAACAGCAGCAGAAAAGGTAACACAGTGCGTTCACCTTGAGTTCACAGCTCCCGCACCACTACTCAGACCTGACAGCATCAAAATCTTCGGAGGGGCGGGGCTTTTGAACATCGACTTGAGGGCAGGCCCTCCTCACTTGGAGACAGGCTGCAGGGAGGACAGGTTCGAGATGAGCCTGGGGTTCGGGCCTTTTGGCTACAACATATGTGGACAGGCGAGCCTAAGAGGCCCGTGTCATGACGCATCAACTTTGCAGAAGTTGAGCTGTGCCAAGTTGGCCATCGAACGAGAGTGGCGGGATTTCAGCAACAAGCGTTGGGCCAGGGCCTCGGCTTGGCATTTGTACTGTCAAGTCGGTACAGTAAAGCGGAGTGTAGCAAGGTTCGCATCTACATCGAGCCCACAACCGTCGCTTCGGGAACCTTTCAGTGGCGGCTGGCCAGCGTTTCGTGGTGCTTCAGCCTGCTAGCCTGTGAGAGCGTCGGTGGTTAGGCCGGGTTAGGCTTTCTGTGACGCTGTCGCGAGCCACTTCTCAGGAATTTTCCAGTGGTTGTCTCAACGTCAGCGCCGATCAACACAGAGTGGTATGTGGCCTGACAGAGAAACGAGGGGAGATGTCAATGTCTCGACAGTGTGCTTGCTGGCAGCACCTGGGGCAGGTGCTCCTGTGCGGTGACTACGAGTGCCAAACCTTCAGCAGCTGGACTGATGTTTGCAATGGGGACATGTCCCTTTGGATTTTGCCACCGAGCTCACACGAAGGATTCTGCAATGTAAGCTTTCGGATCGTGCCTATGTCTTGGGTTTCTCAGTTTCTCTGGGCGAAAGCCGTGCCAAGAGACAGAAGGAGCTTTTCCCCGTTTGCCAGGGATGTATTTGCAGGCCTCTCCCTAGTGCCGAGATATGGATGGACAGCCTCGGTTTGTCCTCGCTTACACCTCCTGCTCCTCCAACAGCGAAGGATTTCACAGTCTGACAACACGTGATTTGGAAGGCTCTAGTCAAGGAGTTTATGCAGATTTGTGTAAGCCTGCCTGCAACCCCAGACATACATAGATCAACCGATCCGCACACAGCTGCGAAGCTCGAGCGAGGTGACCCCTCGGTGATGGCGATGTGCCACTCTCAGCGGGGTTGTTAGCATCATGATGGCGCAGACTCTCTAATCACCGTCTGACCAGATTTCCGGTGCCGGACTTCCAACCGAAGATTCCAGCCAGAACTCCTGCAAGCTGGATAACCACATCAAGCGCTGCTATGCTGCCCGCCTTATTTGGAATCTTGCCTTTTCCACATGAGCCTGCGCCCCTTTACGCAATTTTCCCTGGCCGCGGCAGGTCGGGACTGGCACTGACTCTGCTCTGCGTGCACCTCAGAGCCTCTGACTCCTTGATCGGGTGAGGTTTTCACTCTGCCTGATCCCCTTAGTCATTCAGTCCCCATTCTTCAAGAGTATCTGACCCTGTTTGGTTTGCCCACAGGCTGCTCCGTACCACTCGGGGAGATGTTCTTGTAAGCGAGAAGCCTCGCATTATATTCGCAGATCTTGCCAAGCTGTACAGCCAGTGTCTACGCATTCACAGACTTGGCACCAGGAGGGAAGGCTTCCTGGTTAAGTAGCTAGGGTAGAATTCATGATTTATTTATGATGGTGCATGGCTTCGGGGAAGATGATCCACACGTGATCCGCACCCCCAGAGGCAGGCAATGTGCTGCCGCCCACCAATGCGAACTTCAGATTCGCCAAAGACAACGACGCCGCTCGCGTGTTCTTCAAAAGAGCTACAGCGAGTGAATTCGGACCTGCTGGTGGGACTCACAAATGAGACCCCGTGGCAGAAAGCATGGATCGCGCAGACAGACAAGCTGCACAAAGTCACCCAAGCATCGCCAGCCCACTGTTCAGGCTGAGTTTGGTTGCGCATCGGAGATTCGTGGTTCGTTCCTGCAAGAGCATTGTCGAGCGCCCTTGGGATTTAAGTCAACCGAGGATTCCGGGTGGGCGTAGCTCTGACCTCAGACACCTCATGCGTTGGCAAGCTGAGCGCTGACAACGAGTGAAGGCTATGATGGGCTTTGGGCCAACACGACGTTCGAATCCATGGGGGTACACCCAACGCTGGCTCGCCTCCTAGCACCTCCGCTGCCGCATTCCTTCGTGACGCTGTACTCTTGTCCATGGTCGTGGTCAAAAGGCTTCACTTCCCGGCTACAGCGATGCTGTTGCCAGGTGTCATCCATGGCAGTTCACGATATTCTACGGCCAACCCTGGCAGCTGCCTGAGCTCGAAACCGGTGTGCGATGCTGAGCTCAGAGCGTAGACTTAAGTTCCGCCAGCTGAGGTTCAAGCGGGAGCACGGTTCTGAGAAAGCTCGGAATTGCTGCAGTCTTGTGATGCTGTAAGTGGCTGGAAGGCCATCGCGTAGTCAGAGCATGGTAGCAAGGCTTTTTGGGCCGGCAAAGCCAAAACCAAGTCCTTGAAATTGGCTTTAAAGCTGAGGGCATGGACTAGCTTTTTCAAGCATAGCCAGGGGGTTGTTCGGGCTGCAGCGCCAGCGAGTGGGTGGGAACAGGATTCTGAAATTATGGCTCTGGTGCGTGAGGCTCCTGCAGGATCGCGAATGACTAAGGAGGGCGCGGACTCAAGCACTAAACCTAGACATTCTGGGCACGAGATGTGGTCTCACTTGACAGTTTCCGTCTCGCCTCGGCATTTTTCAGTTGCAATATCTGGTCAGGCTTTCGGTCCGATAGTAAAAGGACGAGACGTTATCATGCGCTGGTGCCTCAGGGTGGTGTCAGGTTCTGCACAAACACGCTAGAATTTGGCAGAGCGACAGACATCACCGAAGGTGCAGAGACGGGCTCAGGAAAGACTCTTGTGGGGTGCTTGGCGCTGTCCTTCGTGGTGGCTGCAATGATCTGCCTCAGAGTTCAGGCCTATCTGCTGCCGCTGGTGAACCGTATCTACCATCTTCATGCCAAAACCTTGGGCTCTCACAGCCATGGACACTTATCGTTCCCAAGCGCCCCAGGACAGAGCCCGGCAGGCGGCTCAGGATCCTGATGCCCCGAACCCTTTGCAGAGCCGGGGCCTCGTGTCAAGACGCAGAGGCACGTTGTTGCAGCCTCCGCAGTCCACAGCTGTCCTGCAAGAAAAGAAGGGTAAGCCGGAAGACGTCATAACGCACGTCCGGATGCTAAGTAGAGGCAAAGAGTTGATTGACGAGCCAGGATGCCGTCCTTGGGTCGTGCCAGAATCCCAGTTATATGCAAACCGGATCTTGTCCTTATGCCTCATGGCATCATGGCTGGGTAGACCGAGGCTGACCCCGACGAGCGATCTTGCAGCTCAGGCACCATGTCACAACAGGTTACGACATGATCGAAGATGGTCGCGTTTGCACTTCTCGTCAGTGTCGGTGCTCCGTTGCCAGTCTGCTTACGCAACATCGGCTGAGATGAAGATAAAGACCACCCGAACGTACCCGAACCCAACGAGATCAACTGAAAAAGATACCCTGGTCTGCGTAGAGCCATGGAGTCTCCGGGCAGCCGCGGAAGGCCATGCGTTGATGTGCCGTGTTGGCTTCGACGCGTCATTTGCGTGAAGTGTGTGAAGTGCTCGGGGGCTTTACTTACTAGCCGCTGGAAGGGCCAGCCCATCCTCGCTTCGGGCCTTTTGGCAGCGAGGACTGCAGTAATAATAATAATGATCATAATAGATATAATCATAATAATCATGATCATAATAATCATAACAATCACAGGGTTAATAATAACATTAATAACAATAGTAGTAATAACAACAGTAATAAGTAATAAGTAATATTTTAGTCAGGTCAGATTTTCTGTGTGGCGCCTGGCGGAGAGCCGCAGGATGGCCACGGGCCTCTGCTGTGGCCATGGCCCTCATGGCTGGGACCTGCTTCCAGGCTTGGGGTATATTATACTATAATATACGATAATATACTATAATATACTATAATATACCATAATATACTATAATATACGATAATATACCATAATATACTATAATATACTATAATATGCTATAATATACTATAATATACTATAATATACTACAAGTATATTAAGGAGCCACCAGAATAATATAGGTACTTATTAAGTGCTGAACTCTTGAAATCTCAGGGGGATCCGAAGAAGATGCGAGAAAAACAGAGAGGGTGGCGTCGGTGGGGGTTGGTCTCTAGCTTCAGGTTTGGGAAAGAACTTGCGCCTGGCAAGTCCCAATGTACAAAGTGGCATGATGCCTCTCCACAGCAGGCCCGTGCATGGTGGAGACGACCTAGCAATATGACCATCAGAGAGGTGACCAGCAAGGCCTCAATGACTTGTGTATCGTGCGTGCTGTGTGCTTCATAGGATGCTGCTGCTGCTGCATCATAGACATGGCTACGAGTGCATTTGCCAGGCCATGAGCTCCCGCCATGCCTTTGCAGTTGGGCAACCAAAAGGCGAGACATCATGGCAACTCATTGAAAGAGCAGGAAGCCATACTGGACTCAGTGGACCCGGTGAGGCATCTCCATGGCAGGGAAGACCTTTAACACCATGGCGAGGCGGTGGTGCTTGTTAGTGGTATGAGTAGTTCTGAGATGTCTGTGTGGTTATCATGATCAGAATCACGCGAACCTTGTACCGGCAGAAGCTATTTGACGATCGTGTCTGCTGTCAGTATCCGCTGTAGACCCATTATAACTCATGTGATGCATCGCGGGCAGGACTGGTCCGGGATTGCGCGCGTTTGGACCAATGTATGCTGTCGCAGCCTGGACTATACGAGATTGCATCTAGTGTCTCTGACGTGGTAGGGGCTCTTCCGCATTTTGTGTGCGCGTGCCCTTGGTTTAGGAAGCTCCGTCGACGCCGGATGCAGCTGTTATCTGGCTCCACGGTCTGGGTGACACTGGAGAGGGATGGTCAGACGTTGGACCACAGTTGCAACAGCAGCTGCGCTCGGCACCTTGCTCTGCCAACATTCTGCCATGTGCTTGTCACTGCTTTCAATAATAACGGGGGTCGCGGTCCCTGAGGTGCGTTTCCTGTTTCCCACGGCTCCAACACAGCCATCGCCTCGCCTGCACGGCAGACCATAAGAAAGGGAGCAGCTGCGCAGCTGCAGAGCTCTGAGCCCGTTTTTGTGTTTGACTTCTCCGAGGCCGGTGACGGTGAACATGGGCATGTCGATGCCCAGCTGGTTGGCGTCTCAGAGCAGATGTGTCGATGCTGAGCTCGGTGTTTGTCAGAAGGTTTGACATCAACAGCCTCGATCCACAGCTCTTCCGACGAAACCCACCGGGCCTTGCGGAAAGCGCGGACTACGTCCGGCAGCTCATCAAGGACCAGCTGGAAGAGGTAAGGGCGATTTTTGTTGACGGAACCTCTTTGGGAGGAGCAAATTGATGACGGGATAGAGCCAGGGCGCATCATCTTAGCTGGCTTCTCTCAGGGAGGTGCTGTGGTTCTGGAGGCCCACTCCCGCTGCTCGCACACCCCCTGATAAGCAGCGAAGTTGTGAAGCGTTGCTCAGGCAGCTTTGGGCACCACAGACTTCGCCGTGGGTGGCATACTTGTGCTGAGTTCCTTCCTCGGGACGGAGCTACCAGTGCAGCTGCCCAGCCCGCTGCCCGCGATCCACTTCTTCCATGGCCAGGCCAGGACAGGGCCTCCATGCAAGGGGACAGGCTTGTGGCGGACTGTGGGAGTGCCCAGGCAGACCAAGTGGTTCCCATCTCCTGGGGCGAGCGGAGCCTCGCAGAGCTGAAGGCGAGCGCCTTTTGGGCTTGGCTGTGGTCGGCATATCTCGCGCATGCGTGTGTCGGGACGGGAGGCCAACGATATCCACGCGAGCTTCAAGGCTTATCCTGGCATGCAGCACTCAGCCTGCGCGGAGGAGCCGCCCGGCAGCCTTCAGACAGTGCAGACTGCTCCGCTTGGCTGCTTGCATCTGTGAATCGGGGAGAGGGATCAAGAACTTCGGCTAGTTGCCATGCTTGAAAACAAACTCCAACACATGCTTCTCAGACGTCAATGTGAGTCCACGCCTGGCGCCGAGACCTTAGCAACACGGCAGAGAAAGCAAGAGGTAGGTGCACAGAGGCGAGGAAGGAAGGAACTGCGAGTCCAACCATAATGCAACAGCTTCCAACCAACCACCATACTGGAGGTCAAGGCTTGTTCCATGGACACTTGGTGCACTGGTGAAACTTGCCCCGTTGACACCTTCTTGACATGCTGCAAAGATGCATAGCAGCAAGAGCTACTGAGCTGAAGCAAAAGCCCTCTGGAATTGGAGAGGCTGCAGAACGACATGCATGCTGGGCCCAACGAAGAAAGCACATGGCATACCATCGGGGGAAATGGGACAGATGTAACTCGAGCGAAGTTGCTGGCTTTTGCCGCTTTCGCTGCTGTTCGTCGGAGTCGCCGAATCAGACGATACACTGTGAGGTGAGGCGAAGTGTTTGCGTGCTTGCGGGCTTAGGCTTCAAGACATTGCCGCGGCCCTCACGGCTGTGTTGGCCGGACGGTAGCATTCCATCCTGATGCAAAAGACATTGCCCAGAAAAATGTGCTGACTGGCACCAAGATCGTCGTCATTTTTACTCGCGGGATCAGCGACAGGTGCTGGCCATGCTCGAGGCCATAGACTGCAATCGATTGGTAAACGCCCAGTGGCGGCCCCGGTGTCTCTGATAGAGGTAGCAAGACTGAGCTTGAGCGACTGGAGGTCGCTAACACAGCTGTTCCGCTGGGAGGCGGTTAGACCAACAGGCGATGCCTGTGAATTTTGCTTGAATTCCGTTCTCAGAGCGAGAGATGCTGGCGCTGTTCGAATTTTGCCGAGACTATGCCAGGGTCACTGCTGCTGAGGGAGCAGGCCAGCTGGAGTCGTTGAAAGCTTCAAGCACACATATGAGATGCACACTAACCGTTCACTAACCTAGCTCGGAGTCGGTGCTGCCCCGAAGCACAAGGACAGCTTCGCTGGCAGTTTCCAAGAGCCTCGCCCGAAGGACCTGGGGTAAAGGTTTTCTGTCGTGCTATTGCTCCTGCCGGACATGCACATGGCCCGAAGTTCAACTATTGTCACCTTCTGCTACATTATCTTCTGCTTTCTTGCAAGTAGCTAAGTAGCCCGGCACGGATGCTTCTGGCAAAGAGAAGGAGCGGACAACCCTGGTTGCCACGCCTGGGCAGAAGCCACGGGAAGAGTCACGAGGTCCGGTGCAGGAGCCCGATGAGCAATGCTGGGCCTCTCGTGGTTCATACGCACCTTCTTAGCTCAAAGTCCGTAGGTCCCGAATCCACTGCCTACGTCTCTTCATCGCCTCGCATTCGCTGCGGCCCAAGTATTTGATGGTGCTTCAAGCATTACGGCCTGGGCGCGGTGGTGCGTGATCTTCTACGACATTGGTTTTTTGCAACTAGAGCTTGGTACTCGAGATGCTGCCATCCTCCTGAGGATGCAGCTTCTCCATGCCCGGCTTCTTGTGTGCTAACCCAGCCCCTGCCAAGCCCCTTCGACAAGGTTTGGTTTGACCTAGGTATACTCAGAACTCAGTAGTGCATGGACATGTCTGGCAGAGGTTGGGGCTCAACGGACATCGTGGTCACAACACCGCTCAAGTTCTGCATGCTGCTCAGGGAAAATCAAGACTGCTTGTTTGGGTGGGCTGGATACCTGGATCTGGGATTGTGAGGTGAGGAACTGGCGCATTTCAAGGAGGACGGTCTCTACCCAGCCTGTGTTGTGATGGACGAGGCCAGTTAATCATCAAGCTAGTCTGCTTCCTGCCGGCTTCGGCTTGCTCGGGTGCTTAGGCCGATGCCCTCTTCCAAGGTTTCACGCGCCCGCATCTCGAAAGAGACCCTAGCTACGGGGAGCCCGAGAGAAAGCCGCGCTGGCCCGCTGAGGTGTGTATCTTTTTGAGATCTTTGGGGCCCTGAGACCTCGCCCGAAGCCTCGTCCTCGGTTCCGGGAACTGACCCTTACTGTTGCTAGTGATTGGTAATGTGTACTAGCTTTAGAAATAGTGTTGCTTTTGTTATTGCCGTTGCTTCTGCTAGGACTATAACTATGACTTTGACTATTCCTGGTCACAGTCCTAGTCCGAGCCTAAGTCCTGGTCCTATTAATATTCCAATTGCATTCCTGTAAATCCAATTGTTTCTATTGCCAGTACTAACTACTACTATTATTTTTCCTTTACAGTGACTATGATTTCGCTAACTGTTATGCGGATATGTGCTTATGCTATGTTTTATCATGTGGTGCGTTTATGTCATACCATCTTATACTGCATTGTGTCATCAATCATTGCATCCCAATATATTCTGTCCTGTTCTGTTCTGTTCTGTTCTGTTACATGATATTGTAGTACAGTGAATTGTATCATGTCAGTCTCCATTTTTCACATTGTGCCATATCACACCATGTCATATTTGAGTGTATCATATCATATCTTGTTATACTACGTGGTGTCAAACGTGTCATATTTCATTTTGTTATATTGTAGCATGCTAAATAACGTTATGCTAGACTTATATACTGCAATGCCACAGTCTACAATGCTACAGTATATCCGCATTTCCTTTCATGTTATATTGTACTATATCACCTGATAGAATCTGGTTTCGTATTTACATAAGTTTATACACTATACTGTAAATTCCTTTGCTAGGCTGTGCTATTTCATGTTACATTAGGTTGTACTATGCTTTGTTGCGTATTCTATATACCATACTACAAACTGTTGTGGTATAGTGTGTTACTTGTACTAGATAAGTTTCCGTTCTATCGTACCATGTTAGATGATTATACGTTCCATCATACTGTGTCATGTTGCATCATGTTGTTTATGCTAGTCACGGCTAGTCTGCATTTGGGTGTGTTAAAGTATTCTACACTTCATCATACTCCATTATGTATCATTGCATGGTTTGCAGTGAGCGGTATGCTATGTAATGCACAGCAAAATCAAACACAACATAACGTAATGCTTTGTATTATGGTATGTGAGGCTTTTTCTTAAGTAAACGATATGATATTCGTTCATAGTGCGCTGTAATACACTTTCTTGTCTTATGCTACGCTGACTTTCTTTTGTTGGGGCATGCTGACTTTGGTTTGTTAGGGCATGTCAAACTGCTGTAGGGTACAAAATTCTCAATGCTATGTTATGTTATGGCATTTTTGTGCTGTTGTGTTATGTCGTGTATGGTGTGACATAAGGTAGTATGACATATTGCAGTGCAAGCAAAGAGTATACCAGAATAGACGACGGTATGCTAAGATATCTTATGCTAGACGACTGTCGTGCTTGGTCGTATCATAGTTCCCATATTGTACAATTTGTTTTTGCAGAGCCTAGTGCAATACACCATGTTCGGCTAGACTGCAGTACAGTAGAATATGACACAGTATAATGTAATGTCATATGACATAAGACACACAAGCAGCGCACCGTACAATATGACACGGTATGGTAGACATATTTCACCACAGTTATGATGTACGGTAATATTATACACAGTCATATAGCAGAAACTGCTACAACGTGATATAGCATACTCTTTTATATGATAATGCAACATAAGATCATATAACATAACATCGCAAAACATGGTGCTCCAAGCAACATGACATAACATGACATATCATAGTATCATGTTAGAGTGTGTTGCGCTAAACCATGTGATGTTGTACTATACCGCCTGGTGCGATATTCGATTGCATGGCATCACATTGCATCATGTTGCATCACATTGCATTCTGTCTTTGCATGTTGTGTTGCATGCTTGCATGTTTACTAGGTCTTTCACTGGTACTATTACTATGACTATCACAATGGCGATTGCGATTTCGGCCGCTGCTCCGATTACTACTACTATTATCGGATGACAGAAGATTACTATTCGTATTCCTGATCCTCTACCCTTGCCAACACAGTTACTAGTGTTTATTATTATTTGGTAAGTAGTCGTTGGTTTTATGTATCAGTTTTTGTGAATTACAATACTGGTACTCCGCACCAAGACCTAGTATACCAAGTATAATACTCGCGCTAATACGAATGCGACTACAAGTACTGATACCAATACCGATACTGCTTCTCATGCTAATACTAATTTCAGTACTACTACCATTGATTCCTAATATTACGAACTGAGACTTCCGAAATACTCGTTACAATTACTAATCTTCTTCCGGCCAGGATTCGACAAGCAGACGAGGAGAGGCAGCGGCTTCCAGACATGATTCCGACGCAGCGCAGGGCTCAGATTCAATGCCTCCCCCATAGGTCCAGCAGTTAAAGTCAGATCTTTCTCTGCAGGTTTGTCTTTTCAGCTGGAGCCTTAGAGAGCCCCAAAACCATCTTCCAACTACAGTCTACCCTCTTCCAGGCGGCCACGATGGTGCATGTCGGCCCGTTTAGTGAAGGAAACATGTTGAGGGCCTGCCATGTTTTGCCAGACAACCCCGCAGTGCAGACTATCGCTTGCACATGGCTTGTATTGGACCTCTGAGCTTTGGTAGCTGGATATGTCGTGCAGGGGGTTTCCAAGGCAGCCGTTGCAGCCACTCTTGGCTCCGACAAAGCCGAGGAAGCTTAGTGCTGGGGTAGCTGGTAAGTCCAGGCCGACTGCTCTCAGATGACGTTGATGCGAACTTGAGCACGGTCACCTCTTGACGCCGATCGTGGATGTAGGAGATGTTTGCACGCAAAGTGAGGTCCCGCAGGCATATCGCACTCAAGTCTCCAATGGTCCCAGTGTGAGGGCCCATGAATTGTGTGTTCCCCAGTGTACTGCTGTTCGCTGGCTCTGCTTTTCTGTGGAAGTCCTGAAGGTATGATCTGTTGCAGCCATCATTTGCAAGAGTTCAGACAAAGCTATGCATTGAAGGCCATGCAGCAGCCAACAGATGACGGCGATGCACAGCAGGGTGAGCTTCCGTGGCTCGGCTCCTTCAAGAACTAGTGCGGCTTTGGACGGTCATGTGGTGATTCAAGGACAGTGCGGACTGCCGCCCGTGAGCTTGGACTTCTCTTGGCGACGAGTCCGCACATAATGCCCTGTTGATTCCTTGAATGTGTCGATGCCGTGAATTCGAACTGCCAGCGACACTCCCGAGTCCTTTCCAAAACACGATTCCAGGCGTGTAGGCTGCATCTTCAGCAGCAGAACTGATGGGCCCTACGGGGTCCTTTCTCTACTGCTGATGAACATATAGAAACCTAAGGCAGCGTAGAGTTTCTGAAGCAACCAGGAATGAGCACGGCTCATGTGCATGCGAGGCTTCCGTAGTTCTGCTGTCCTTTGACGAGCTGAACCCAGTGAAGGTGGAATGTGGACTGAGAACCCATAGAACCCGTGAAAATCGGCGTGCAGTTGCGGGCAGGTGTTATGCAGCTACACAAGCTGGTTCATGGGCTTCTCCGAGGCAGATGTGCTGGGTTCATCGCGTCGGAGCAACTGATTGGAAATCGAGCTCGCTTCACAATTCCGGCAGGTTCACCTGGGAGTTTTCGCCAGTCTGTTATTGCTTGCGCTGGGCATCAACCAGCGCGACCATATTCTATACAACTGCGCGAGGACAGTGCAGGTTGCAAGGTCTTTCGTAACAGACAGAGCTCTTGGAAAGCTTCTCTGACAGTTCGTCTGCGCGCAGGATCTTTTTCAGGTGCACGTTTAACAACATATTCTTCCGATCCGTGGAGATCGTGGGCATGGAAAATCTGCCCAAGGACGGGCATCGATGGCTTCAAACGGCACCTGCCAAGGCAAAGCACAAACCGCAAAAACTAGCGTGGACCTCGGCTTCAGGAAGGTCCTGTCATCATCACCGGAAATCACAACAACCAGCGGCTTGATTGAAGTTCTGCGATGTTGCCAGCCATGATCACTGTGGTTCGGCATTGATCATGCATCCAGAAAGCTTCAAGTGCTTGTCCAAGCTTCTCTCGTACTGCAGCCCGGTACTATCAGGTTTGTTGATGGCTTGATGCTGTTGACAAACTGCCCGCGTGAGATTTCCTTCATGATTGCGCAGACGCTAGGCTTCTATGCAGTAAGCTTGACTTTGTCCTGCGGTGACGCAAAGAGTCGACAAAGTGCCCCTGTCATTTCCAAGCCTCCGTCTGTGTTGGGAGATCTGCGTGTTCGGATGTTGGGCATGTCCAAGGAAATCCTACGATCGACCATTCGTCGGATTTCTGGCGCAGCTTGGATCTGCTAAGCCTTGCAGCCTGAAGATGCGTCAGGTACCAACCACGGAGGTGCCTAAGCATGTCCGACACAACTCGACTGACCAAGGCGTGCGTTTCATTGCATCCCAGTCGCACGGCCGCAGGCGCTGCTGTCCCAGCGACACTCGTAGCCTGACGAGTGGGTGCATTGTCTCCGCGCAAGAGAATTGGAGTTCGTCCAGGATATGGCCTATACAGGACAAGGGACAATAAAGTTGGAACAGGGCTCGGCGAAAGTGCTGCTTGGCTGCAAAACTTTGAGTGGCAAGATTCACGCTCGTGGCGAGAGTGAGCCATGTTCATCGTAACTTGTTGGTTTTCTTGCTCCCTGTGCTGATGTGTATGCCATCTGGTCATTTGCGGGTGCTCCTGCTACTCGTGCTGCTGCTGTCGCTCCTGCTGCTGCTGCCGCCGCTGCTGACTGCTGAGGCAACTACATCTGCTTGCTTCTGGTTTCGCCGCTGCTATGCCTGCTTCGCACTGGTAACATGCTGCTTGATTAGCTGTTGCAGCTCTTTCCTGAGTTCAACATGTTTAGCTAAGCCGTTTCCTTCTTTCCGCATGTGTTCGGCACACTGACCATAGAACGAAATGCCTCGAAAACACAGGTGCATGCGCAATGTAGATGCCGCTCATGAAACAGAATAACTTTGAAGCTAGCATGTCCCAGTTGGGAGGCAAGGCATCGACACCCACTTCAATGTAGAGGCCATGCCTCGCTGTTGTCTTGTGTGGAATCATCACTCCGCGCCGTTGCTCTTCTGCTCGTGATGGCCAGGTGCCTCCCGGAAGCCAGATCAATGTTCAAGGGCATGAGAAATTGCTCAAGGTGAAAGAGGCCGCAGACTGACCGTCTCGGACTTTTAAGTAGTTGTGACTGAATATGTGGGGAGGTGCACAGCTCCACTGAGCTGACCGTGGATGTGCCGGCTACCTGCTCTTTGGCAGCTGCGGGCTTTAAGGTGCACCCCAAGGCACAGATGTCGCAGAGCATTCGAAGTGAGTTCATAGGAGTGCTTGATTGTAGCAGGTCGACCAGTCCGCAGTGTACGGACAAGTGTACCCCGTGTGGCATATTGAAGGCCCCTTCGCGAGAAGCACGGCTTCTGCCGCAGGTACAAAAACTTGTGTTCGGGCAATTGCCTGGGAATTTTCCCTGAAGGCGCCGTTCCGGTGGAATGGGGTTCTGGTGTTTCATGCTCCCGGTCGGGCCAGGTGGAAGCCATGACAGAACAGACCTGCTGCCCCTCAAAGCCGGCGTGGCAGTCATAGCTTTGGAAGCGTTGCGTGCTGGCCTGAGGGGATTCTTCGTTTGCTGAAAGCTGCTAACTAGCTGTCTGGAAGCTGCACATTCCATGCCACTTCGCAAGCTGAAATGGCTTTAGCTGCAAGCCCCAAGGACTTCACCATATCAACGTCCCCATCGTTCCGGTGGGCCTGAACTATTTTCGAGGACACCAGTTGCCCAGACATGACTTATGATCTGCTGGGCTTCGCAAGTGCTCCACTTCAGTGCCCGGCTCATCTAAGGTTTGGTGGCAGAGTAGCCGCCTGCATGAATATTAACTGGACCGATGCGAATCATGGCTTTGGGCGTTTTCCCCACCAGGTCATGGAGTTTGGAGCTCCTTTGATGTCGCAAAGCTGCAATGGTTTGCTGCACGTGGATGACCTAAGCACCCTGGTTTCGAGCAGCATGCGAGGATATCAGAGGACCCGGACTTGAGCTGAAGTGTGCCGGATTAGGGTCATGCGCCAGATAAGCTTCCAAGTTGCCCATCAATTGCCCGAGTAGTTGCAAACTGGAAGGAGGTCCACGCCATGTACGAGACCAACCGCCGTGAGGCCACAGAAGAGGTCCTGAACCAGGTGGCCGCCGCCATGCGGAGTGCACCGAGCTCAGGCTTTGGAGGTTGTGATGTCAACCTCCGCTCCACTTCCGCCGATGTTCCAAGGTGATAGTGCCAACAGAAGACTATAAAACTCTCCAGCAAATTTTCATGGTCCATGCCCCGGGACATTCTGCCAAGCTGCATTTCCATGTCCATGCTCCACAGTGCTTCGCCGCGCCTGACCTGCTGTTTCCCGTCAGAGGATGCCAGGATGCTCGCAGATGTAGAGGTGTAGGCGTAGAAGTCGGTCGCAAGTTGCGCCGGTGAAGAGGAGGCGCATACGCAGGCTCCTCGGGAACTCAGAGGTGGCATATCTTTACGCGAGGGGTAGAGTCAAGTACTTCAGATCCGCCTCCTCAACAGAGCCCTTGTCGCCGCTGCTGCCATCACTGCCATCGCTTCCATGCCCAGGGTCGGCACTTCAGCCTGTGCCCGTGCCATGCAGAGCCTTGGAAACCTGTTTTTGCTGCACAATTGAGGCCAAAGCTCCAGCTCCTGCGAGGAGTGGGATTTTCACATTCTAACTCTAGCACTTGGCTGCTCCCGGAGCGAGTCTGGTGCAGGCGTGGTCGTGGAGGCCGCACTGCTGCACAGAAGGCTCAGGCACGGCCCCAAGGAATTTCTTTTCGCTCATGGCTTTCAGGGTTGTCCTTGAGGCCCGTGGCCGAGGACCACCAGGCCGTGGTCGAGGCGGCAGAGGGCGAGCAGCTCCTGAGAAGGGCCGCGGACGTGCGGGCCGCGGCCGTGGGAATGGGGGCCGTGGAGGGCGGCCCTCAAACCCAGGGAAAGGAAGAACCGCTGGAAGCGCTGGAAGAGGGCAGGGAGCAGGGCGAGCAGCAGCCCGTGGTGGACGAGGGCGGGGAGGGAACGGACAGGCCACCGTGAAACGGAGCAAGGCGCAGCTGCTGCATTGATTGGCTGTTGCACTAATTGCCACCCGCTTCAGGCATGGACAGGGCATAGATATCTGTTGCATGAACTTGTGCAGGTGGAGTCTCCCAAACAGACATTGTCATTGCCGGTGCAGACTCGAGGACATCACTACTTCACCAGTGGTGAGGTGGACTGCGTGTGAGTCACGACATAGAGCGGAAAGGACGTGGTGTGAGCAAAACCGTCTTTTCGCCAAAGACCCCGCTCGGCCGACCGAAGTTGCAAAATCGTGGGCAGGACCGAATGAGGTATGATGAGACATGTGTCTTGACGAGCAAACAGAGTGCCTGCGTCGAAGGATGTCGAGGCTGGCGACAAGAACTCTCGCCTTGCCGCACTGGCTGCATGGAATGCGGCAGCTGATGCGGAACGTCGTGGCCCTCAGTGTCAGCAGTCTTCGAAGAGCATCCCGGCCCTCTGTTTTCACTTGGTGACCTTGGCGGCTGACCCGAGGCCTTGAAGCATCGATGCGGCGGCGCCACTCGACAAAGCAGCGTGAAATTCCAGCTTTAGGCTGGCAATCCCTCAGCGGAAGTCACAGAACGTCACGCATCAGCTTCCGGAAACAGACGCCAGGCCGCGCCATCCGCGTTGCCGAGAAGAATGCACCGCGGGGACACTATGATGCACCTCAGCAGCACCGAAGTCCAGTGGCTGGCATCATGGCTGTGACAAGTATTGCTGTGAAAATGGGAGAGACAGAGTCTCAGAGAGAGAAAGAGTACGTTGCTTCAGAAAGAGAGAGAAAGAGAGAGCCACCTTTGTGTTGTTTTACAGTGGGGAACTTGACAGGTAGATACAGCAGCCCGTGGAACACCCACGTTGAGGAACCTCCCCAGTGGAAAGCCTTAAAACCCGTGGACTGCGGGTGCGCGCTCACGCGCAAGGGGGGGGGCGTCCGCCTTCCTCCTTTGCGGAAACGAGAGAGAGAGAGAGAGAGAGAGCACAAGCAGATCCTCACGGCAAGAACAAGCATGCACAGCAGAGCCATCGCACACACTACTTTGGTCAGGAATGCAGGCCTCTATGCCTGCGAAACATGGCCTCCCCATCACAGAATCCTTAAGGGGGCTAACTCGCAGCAGATCCAGCATTACAGAGACATGCTACACATAAATAGGCGACCAGCAGAGGACTGGGCGACCTGGAACAGCAGGTCGCTACGGCATGCCAGGCTGTACATGCATAGAGAGAAGCTGGGGAGATGGTCCACTTACATCCTGCACAGGATTTGGAGTTTGTGGGGGCACATGGCCAGAGGCGGAGAGGAAGTTGAAGCGATGGTGGCATGGAAGAATCTAGCCTTTTGGAGGGGGGAACAGCAGAAGCCCAGAAGCCAACGTGTTTCTCATGCAGCGAGATTCAACCCTGAGGGGGATGTTGAGAGGGCCCTCGAGGCCATTGCAGGCACCAACTGGATGGGGGTGGCACAAGACAGACACAGATGGGGGGAACTAGCAAGCACCTTTGTGGCTCGTTTTGATGTTCCATGGGCGACAGGCAGACAAACAAGCATCCGAGACAATCTCACACCCAACAGCAAACACACACAACCAAAGGGGGAGCTCGCAGCAGAATGATGGACTAGTACCGGACATGTTGCAGACCAGCCGTTGCTTGCAGAGGGGAGAGAGTGTGAGTGTGCAGTTTTCTGTCAGCGTGCATGAGCTCAGTGAAGCCAACGGTGTGCGCCGCAGCCTGTGCCTCAGCCTACAGTAGCGCCAACAGGACGTGTAAACATGACTCGAGGGGGACTTCTCCTCGTATGTGGAGCAACAATGCTCGCCCTTGGCAGCCTAGCTACCGGGGGAGGACGAGCGCCAGGCCCGCCGCAGCCAGGAGCCGCAAGAATGGGAGACCCGCGCCGCAACGAAGGAGCGGGACCGCTACCACCGAGACCAGCAGAGCAGTTGCAAACAGCGGCGGGGGGACTCCCCCAGGCAGCAACCCAAAGCCACAACCGGGCGGGAGGCGCAGGGGGGTCGATGCTTACGGGGGTGGCTAGTGCGGGACCCGTGACAGCCAACGCTGCCCAGCAACAGCATACGACAGCCACCGCAGCAACCCAGCCGTCGCAACCGCAAGGAGCGCAAACACTGCAAGCGCACCCTCAGGGGGGCCAGCTGCCGCCACAACAAGGAAAGCCGCAGCACCACCACATGCCCAGCAACACCGCGCCCTCAGCCAGCGCTGCCTACAACACCCCCACCGTTCAGACGGGGCACGCAGGCAGCAGCCACACAGGGGGAGGAGGCCAGCTTCCCCAACAACAGCAGCCGCAGATCCAGCCAGCCACACTGTACGCCTACGTTACCCCCACACAAGTGCGACCGCTGCAACCAGCCCAAGCCACCGCAGCAGGGGGAACAACAGGTCCCACCGCGCCACAACCAAAGCCGCGACAACAACCCAATTTCGAGCACTCCCAACCCACGGCACTCTACAGGCAAGTCTTTGGCACCACAGGGGGGAGCACATCGGCGACGGCTGCCACAGCAACACAGCCGACCCAACAACAAGCACAACAACAAGCAAGCCCCCCCCACGGGAAAGTGGCGCCTCAACAGCAGCAGGCCCAACCACGAAAGTGGGCATTCGACCCAGCAGACCCGTGGGAACAAGGCACCGAGTGGCCTGACCCAGTGCAGTACCCAACGAACCAACCTGCACAACACTGGCCCAACAACCCCTACGATCCCGATGCAGACCCATGGCATCAAGCCATGGGAGCGGGCCCCCACCAGCAGATGACACCCACAGGGGGAGCCCCACCACAACAACAGCAACCACCACAACAACAACCACCACATGCTCACAATGCTGATTTCCGAGCAGCCTTTCATGACCCACAACAGTGGGGAACCTTCGGTCCACAGCAGCCACTCTACTACCACACTGTCCCCAGAGAGCTCTACACAGCAGCACACCTGGCAGCAGACTTCGGCTACTCGCAATACACACAAGATCCAGAGGCCGACCCACTGCTCCCACCCCAGACCCCCACACACCATCAGCCGACAGGAGCAGCAACAACGGCCGCGGCAGAGCCAAAGCAAACACAAAGCGCGGGGAGAACCAGCCAAGCAGAGCAGACAGGCAGCGCGGCCAACCAGGAACCACCCGCACAAGCTGCAGCGGCCGAGGGGGGGGCCCCTGCAGAGCCACCCTACGAACCACCACCGTGGGACCAACAACCACACCCCATGGGGGCTGCGCACCCACAGCAAGGGGGGGCATTTACAGACACTCCGGGAGCACCCGGAGCACCGAACCCGCTTTTCCAAGCAACCGGCAGCCACACCCCCCCCGCGGGGATGAAAGCAGTCCCGGGGACTACGATGCGAGAGCACTACCACTTTGTCACAACGGGACAACTTCCCAGCAGCTACATAAGCCGGGAGCTGCTTCCGTCCTCCGACACAACAGCAGCCGCAGCAGCAAACCCCGAGGGGGGACAGGAACAGCAGCAGAGCACACCTCGCAGAAGGGCGAGCCACAACAGGCAACGAGCCCCGCCTAGGAAACACGAAGGGGGGGGAGCCACCCGCACCCGGAACAAAGCCATCAAGTACAGGAGGTGGCTGAAAGCACACGGTCTCCACCACACACTCTGGGGGGACCACGAGGAATGGGAAGCCTACCGCAGCGAGCACCCTCCCCAGCACCAGCAGAGCCAGCGGCGACAACAGCAGCCGAACCAAGGGGGAGGCCACCAAGCCAACAACCCATCGGGCATCGACTGGAACGACCTCCTCAATCGCCACAACCTCCCCCGCACCACACAGCCACCCCCCCAAGGGGGAGACAAAGCCAGCAACTACAACCCACACTGGCAACCGCCAGACCCCCTTGACACCACAGCCACCCAGCAAGCGCAACCACAGGCAGCCGCAGCGGGACAAACCACCACGGACACCGGACCGGGTAGGGGACGAGGCCCCCCACCCACCAAACCCAAACCACCACAACCACCACAGCCGCCAACCCTGGGGGGACAAAACAGCAGCCCTCCTCCGATTCCCCACAGCGAAGCCACTACCACAACACACAGGGCACTGAGGTCTGGCAAATACCTCACACGAATCGAATACACAGGCGACATCCCTGGGGGGAACAGGCCAACACTACAGCCCTCCAGCCTCAGCCTCCCAGTGGGGAAAGCCCCCAGATTCAGTGGGGAAACGTGGTTCCTGCTTGAACCCGTGACGGCCAGACAATGGCTCCTTACAGTACAACAAACACCAGCAGGGGGGAGCCAGGAACCCGGCACCCTCGAACTCATGGTGGGGGATCAATTTATCCTAACAAGGATACAGAGTGGATGGACCATTCAGAAGACGGTCATGACCCCCAACAGCTTCACACAACCGCCACCAAAGCCGACAGCAAAACAAGCAGCAGCAGCCGCAGCGGGGGAAGCCACCGAACCGACAACAGAGACCACCCAAGAGGCACCCCAAGAGGAGCGAGCAGACGAGGAGACCACTGCCCAGGCCGAGGGGAGCCCGTACCCTCACCAACCGCCAGCAGAACCAACCGAACCCACAGCAACCAGCCACTACACAGGAGGGGAGAACACTCCCTACCAGCAAGGCCAGCCTACAACAGCGGACCGAACATGGCAGAGCTACCCACACAACGACTTCTACGACAACAGGCCACTGCGAGGCCAGGCCAGAACAAGCAGCAACTGGCACCAAAGCCCCTCGCAACCCGCCACGCCAACCAAGGAAGCAACAGCAGCCGCCGCCAGCTACCAACAGCGCAGCCGAGAGTCGCCGTACGAACGGTGGAATCGCGAATACAACGAACGCCAGCAGCAAGCCGCAGCGCAGCAGCCACCGGCAGAACAAGTGGAAGACAGCACCCCCCAACAGCCACAACACAGTGGACAGCCGGACCACTTCGGGGGACTGGGCGACGGCAGAACACTGAGAGGGGGACAAGCAGCAGCCCACCAGGCCTACGATCCCACACCAGCACCCTGGTACCACCAGATGCGAGACCAGAGACAACTAGGAACAAGGTACTGGCGGGGGGAGTGGCAGCCTTGGCCGACGCCCAGCCCAGCGCCGCACTACGAGACGGACAAGAGCGAGCTCATGCAGAGGGGGAACCCAGCGCAGCCACCAGCAGCACAGACACCCCACCCGCCCTCGGGGGGACCTCAAACAAGCACTCCTCACACAACTGCAGCTTTTGAGAGACACAGCCGTGACGATAGACGGGGGAGAGGTGCTCACGACCATGGTAGATGTAGCTGCACAGCTGATTCACACCTCTAGTCATGCTCCCGGCCCAAGCAGAACCAGAAGGAGGGGAAAGAAACGACCCTTCACGGAGCCGAACGCCCTTGCGGAGATCGCGGCGTACGCCAACAGAGCCGGGGGGAGAAGTGTGCCACTCCCGGCGCACATGATAGTGGAGGATTTATTCGTCCTCATTGCAGAGCTCGAGGCGGGGGGACTCCAGTTGCACGAACCGCTCCCTGGAACAGTGCATGTGGACGAGATCCAGGAGGCTGTCCGCAGACTGCAGCATTGCCAGCATCTGCTGGTATCCGCCCGTGACCAAAGCATGAGGGGGACTAACGCCTGGAACACACCCCGGTTTTGGGGGGAAGTCCTCGACCTGGTCCAGCCGGGGGCGCTGCTAGCAGACAAGCGGGAGGAGGCCTTCATGACCGACGAAGAGGGGGAAGACCCTGTGGCGCATCCTGCAGACGCTCTGGCACTCGCTGGGGGAGCCAAGGAAGCCCCGGCAAGAACGCGACAGGAGAGTAGCGCGGCACTGCTACTCCACGACGCTGCGCAAGACTTTCGAGCAGTCATCCCCACGCTGACGGGGGAAGCACTACAACTGGCGGTTCACCTCTACGACGCGCTGGACTACTGGCAGCAATCCCAATTCGGGGGAGCCATCGCGGTCCACAACTCCACGCGGACCGACCCGGAGGATGAACAAGCTCAGCCACGACTTCTACCTGGCCAAGCAGAAGGAGGGGAGGAACAAGCAGAGGGCAGTGACTCACGGCGGGGGGAGAACCCCGACGAGCTGACAACGTGCAAGTGGCAAGGGCTAGCGGGGACTACCGCCAGCCAAGCGGAAGCCGCCCTGGGAAGCCTTGACCTGACAGCAGTGGGGGAGCCTACTCTTCCTCAGCCGTGTGGAGAAGAGCCACCCTACAACTCGCAAGCCACTACGCTGCCTTGGCAGCCCGTGCCCGCGATGGCCGCGACGGGGGAGCTCGCAGCCACACTCCCTGAAGAAGGGGAAGACCTCGACGACAATGAGGGCGACTGCACTGCTCTGCAGACTCGGAGGGCAGCCACCAAGTGAGCCTGGGAAGCCATAGACGTAGGCGGGCACATGCAGTGTGTGACTAGAAGGGGACCTGAAGGTTTGCTGGTGATGCTTGCAGGTTTTGGGGGGGGTTTTTCAGATCTAGTAACAACTGCAGCTCCAAAGACGCCAACCGGAGTGAAACAACTCAAGGTAGTTCGTACCACCCGAAGCCAGACAGTACAGCAGGGAGGATGACCCAACAGTTCCCTTTACCCTAGGCAGGGGGTGTAGGACT